ATAACGCAAAAAGTTCAATCCTGCTAGTTGGTAGTCATGCAGATTACCGCCTGACTCCACAATGTACTCCGGCTGCGTTTCCAGTTTCTTCTTCAGGTCGACGGTGGGCGTCGACGGGAACTTTAACGTGCTCTTCCGTTTCCCTGGTAGCGGCATCGTTTTCAGTCGTTTGATAACCTGTTTTGGCGGCGGTTCGCCGATCATCTGCTCCCGATGATCCCAGTAGAATTGAATACTTTCTACGAAGCCAGAGATTTCAAACTCGTCCGATTCCCAGGTCGACTGGTCGTAAGCCAAGTCGCGCCACTTCACCAAATAATCGACTCCGCCATGTTTGTGGAGTCTGTAAGCAAAGACGTTTAAATTTTAAAAATTTCAATGAAAATCTCATTTCTTGACATATGAAAAGCCTCAGCTTTCCTCCAAAACGGGCTGTCATTAAGACTACACTCCACATAATATATGAGAGACTTTCCTCAGCGGAGCCATTTGTGCATATTATGGCCTACAAGCCATAGCTAAAGTGAACAATTAAAGAATGAACGCAGTAACAAAAGTTAACTGATAATCCCTTATAATTAACGCGGATCACCACTGCATAAACTTGATGTCCATGTCTTACAATTTGCCGCCACAAGCATCCATATCTATCTGCTAGTTTATTGTTCACTTGAGCCGATGTCTGTCAAGTGGGTGCATGATGAATCCTATCGATGATGAAACCCAGCGGTTATTCGTCAGTCGGGCATTGTAGCTCGCCATCGAACGAGTTGGGCTGCACGCAGGGGATTTTTAACTATTTTCGTCTGTCCTATTCATTCCATAACTCCGCTGTTAATGGTTCTAAGCCCAGATGAGAAAGAAGCAGCATTGCGGACCGTAACAAGGTCTCCCGTTAAACTTAGCTGCCGACGCTAGCTCGATCGTTGCCCATGATATAAATGGTTGTATAGGCAGTTGGAGAACTGACGTCCCCGCCTACGGTTTAGGCGCAGCAGCACGCTAGACGGCTGTTGAAGACTGACAAAAAGACAACCAGGAAACCAGTCAACAACACATCTGCAACTCCTTCTGACAGGAAAAGACGGACAGTGCGATGCAATCATACCACGCCAGATAAGATTCCACGGAAACGATGCCGCCAGTGGAAGCTCACAATCGGAAATTCGTAAATCTCCTCATTCGGACGGAAAGAACAGCAGCAAGTTGATGAGGCTACAAGGTACCAACTCAACATAGTTGGACTCTCGTCAAAGAAACGAACTTCTGCGGGTGGAATCTATTTTACTCAGGTATCGACATAAAGACGCGCGCTCAGGCTGGTGCTGGTGTTCTGTCAGAACCCAACGGGGCTGAGAGAATTACTGAATGGAAGCCTGACAGCGGAAGAGTGACAATCCTCTGACTTAGGCTACATAAGGCTAGAGCGTTGACCTTGTTACAGGCCTATGGGTTTAATTTAGTGGGGAATACGATTCTTTCCTTGCGGAAGCAAAGTGTGCTCTGTACGAAGCACCGAATACTGAATCGCCCGTACTCACGGGCGATTTTAATGCGGATGACGGAGCAGACGCTGAAAAATGAAAAGGCGTGGTTGGAAAGAACGACCCTAGCAACCGCAATAATAACGGCATGAAGATGTTGCAGTATCTTGCAAACAACAGACTCTCTACTATGAACATAGATTTGATAATAGTTTCATCCTACACTTATTAACGGAAATTCGCGTTAAGAAAGGTGCAGACATGACAACCGATCACAAACTTGTGGTTGGAACCCTTTTAAGCAAACACTGAAATACCATACGAACACATGGAAGTACAAGCAATCAGAGAACAGAACGGAAAACATTATCTTCCATGAATACGAAGGAAAGCTTCTCTACTTTACAAAACAATACAGCTAATATGGCAATCACAATATGCTTTCTCATGCCTTCTTAAAATGTCGTGACATCCTCTTGTCCAACTTGAGATGGCGAGACGAGTAGCCTGAAAAACAAGAAGAGAACTTCCAGATCTAGCTTACCACGGGAGATATGCCCAAAACATCCATACGGAATTACAGACAAATTTCCTGCTAAACAGATTCAAGTTTGGTAGCTCACATGATCGTGGACATAAGCAACGGTTATCCAAAAGCCAGGCTGAATTTATCAGCGTCCCAATCACAGAAGGTTGGCAGAAACTGCAGTAAATATTCAGATGCAAGGGTGAGGTACTGTAAAGCGTGCATTTCTCAAATGTTACGATAGCTGCAAATGCTTATAACGAATGCTGTAACAGTCGACGTATTGACCATGCAGTGATATATGCGACTGACATCTCCCATCATCTCGTAAGGTAGTCCGCCTAAGAGAAGGACAGTTTCACAACAAAAGCAATGCGAAGGACTTGGAGGTCGATCATCTATATCAATCCTAAACTGACCACTAAGTTTGATTAAAGCTTTGCATCGTCCTCTCTTAACATAGGTAAGAGAAACGCAACGACCTGACAATACCAGACAGAAGATATCAAAATAAACAAAATAACGTGCTTCAGGCCAAATGGAAGGAGAAGAGCAGTAAGTCCCACGTAATAACGTCGTCCATCCTTTCACATTTACGTTCCCATCCCCTTGAACGAAGATGACAGTAGTCATATATCACGCATAAGATAGATATTAAAAGTGGTGCGCAAATTTGCTTCCCTCTCATCAGATAGCACTCACTTATCAATCTCGAAAGAATGAAAGGCGAAAACCGCAGCAGTGAATCGAATCCGCAACCTTTGACTAATGCTCCGGTACTGATCAACCGAACTACCATGACCTATCGAACAGGCATCACGAAGCAGCTACCCCGATGCAACGAAAAGGCAGAAAATTACATTACACCGAAAAAGTGACTTCCAATGATCCAATCGCTTTCTACATCTCTCAATAAGCCACCCCCCCAGTTATTGTCAAGTGAAAAACAGCCAGGCACACACATAAAAATAACAGTGAGATATTACAACCGACTCACTTGTGGTTGATAATTCGCTGAATCTGAAGCCACTCCGGCTTTATACCGTATCGATAGTAGCGCTCTTCTAAATTATTCAAATCTTCTTCCCTCTCTTTACCCTCTATTCTACCGGTCAACAGGTCCTCTTGAGAGCCATCGTCAACTTCTGGTGGAACCTCCGGATCCATCTTGCGGAAGTACATGCGCAGAACCTGCGGAAAATACACGTCGAGAACCGTTTCCAATACCCAGCTACAGTGCCAATATGACAGCCACTTCCATTTGATGTAAAACTCTCGTATGCGACGGTTCGGGTTCTTACGCATCGGTTCCGGTTCCATGACGGACGGCTGTGCCGAAGGGGCGCCTTCTTCAGTACTGATCAGCGGCCTCTGTTCCGCAGCGCCTGCGGAAGGATAGCCGGTGACGGGCTTAGCTTCGCTCGCTAACTCCGGAATCGGAGGCAGTTCGATCCAGCGCCAACTGAGTATCTTCTCTGGCCTATGGTCAGGCTGCTTGCATGAACAGCGGGGACAGTGCCAGTCGCCTTCAGGTACGTCCTTCAGCGGTGGAATCAGACAATATGTGTGATAGCTGGAAGGACAGCTGTCGCAGCAGAGCAGTTCGCCGCCGTCGTGACACAGACGACAAAACTCCATGTTTCCAGATTTGACTGCAGGCTGCTCCGTGTTGCGGTCTTTACTGTCCTCGTCCTCAGTCGTAATCTCAGTTTCCTAAAAATGCAATAAAAGAACAAAGAGCATGCTGCAACCTATCACATTCTATAAATTCAATCAAGGTCAAATGACGTACCATAGTTTCCCACTGATAACGAGCACCTAACAGATACCGCGCACACTGTAATATTTAATGCCCATGAAAATGTATAGACAGCGTGTAATCTATACTGTCTGAAAATAGGCAGTTTTCGGACAAATAAATAATGGAATAACATGACTGGCTGTGGCTGTATTCAAAACAGATGAACAGAAGAATTAACAAGAGTTACCATACTGCTTCTGGTCTTTGAACATGTATACTCTGCAAATGCTTAGTTTTTAAATCGAAAGGTGTTCCTGAGAAAATTACCCTTGCAGAAAAAAATACTGCGGAGAAAATTTTATACAGTAGTGTCAAAGCTAGAAGCCATTAATTTCGCGAAAGAAAAAGGGAATCATGAGGCAGCTAGAAAATTTAAATTTGGCGAGTCCACTTTGCGACAGTGGAGGAAAGAAGAAGCAATCTTAAATGTTTACACCAGAAGAAACATGCAGTGAGTACGGAAGATACTTTCGGCCAGAACTCGAAAAAACACTTCTCGAGTGGGAGATCTCATAGCGATCGAATGGATATAAGGCGTCAACAACCAGTATTTTGTTGCAGAAGAGAACAAAAGAAAATGTTGAAGCTTGCTCATCATGGGCATTCAGATTTATGAAAAGAAATATTTTGCGTATTCGTTCATCCTCGACTGTTGGTCAAAATTTTTTCGTTTTTCGTTGCATAACTCGCAACGTAGTTTTTAACGTTGATTAAACCTTTCTGTACAGATAACGCGTGCGTTATCGATGGGAAAATACGGTACTTTGTACTGCAGAGAAACGTACCAAAGTAATTGTTAATAAGCAAACATCTCTTCCAAACAGAGTTTAACACGGATGTGGTATTTTGTTCCAACTGCCTGGGGGCGGGAGGAAGCAATTTACGAAAGCCACGACAAATACTGATAGAACAATGTAGCTCATGAAAAATACCTACGCGTTTTGAGCACTCAAATACCATGGAGCTCTCCTATTTATACCTATTAAGCTTCTATCAAAAAACAGTAATGTCCAACACCATAAAACCTACTGTGGAAAATTGATCGTATATCGACATATTCCAGCATTCGAGCTCATTGTTTTGAGAACTTACACCTCTGTGAGGTATGTCCAGAAGTCTTAAAGGCTGAGAATATGTGAAATAAAGGCTAAAGGGTTGGTACAAATTTATTAATATGATTAACAGGAGCGAAAGCGCTGACTGATTGCTAGGATAGTCATTTTTAAGAATGAGTAAATTATACTGGTGATTGTTCATGGGGAACAGATCGACAGCTACCTCAAAGTCAGAAGGCCCGTTTGAAGCACGGATATCAGCTAATCATCCTGGTTTATCAGAGTCATAATCCTCTACCGACGTTTCGGGTTTGTACGCTACAGACATTCCTAAAAGGGATGAACGACCACAAACAGAACCGAACAACTGCCTATCTTAAGACCTAAGAACATGCAGACCGATGCGGCAGTATCAGCTTAATACCAAAAAATATCAGAATCTTAATCTGCTATCGACGTTTTGGTTAGTATAGAATAGACAGTCTTTAAAGTGCGATTGAATGTGAATGAAAATCAGAGCAAATCCGACTGACCACCAGATTTAAGAACTGTGGGATGCGGATAATTAAATGCTGCATTGGTATATCAGCCCTAAAATATATTTTACGCTGCTTCAAATACTTAATGCTTACTATCTTCAGCTGAACTTGACTCAAACAAATAAAACATTCGCAAAACAAAACACTCATACATAAGATGAATACTTAAGCAAAACATTTACAACAGAGGTGATGAAAAAGATTATTCATAGTTTTTCAAGTGAACTTCAGCTTAAGATGCAAACACTTGTGTGTCTGAAGCAACGCAAAATAATCTATCGACTAAATTATAGCTCAAATACTGTGAGTGGGGGTGCAGACAGCTGAAACGGGCTTTTGAAATAAATCGCTTGGTTCACACGTCATGTTTCGGAGTACATACGTATTCCGTGAGAGCACTGGTGTGCAGCGACTGTTTTTCCGATTGAAGAGTCGCAAATGCAATGGTTTTGGAACGTTTTGCTAATGTTTTCAGAAACGAAAGTGAAACGGTTACTATTTAATCAACCGATGAGTCGAAGACCCTGAGTACGGATAAAGAATAACCCATAGCAAGTCGCATGACGACCCTGCTCGAGAGTCGGGTCATTCATAATGCAAACAATGGCACAGAATCGGCAACGCTGGAGACCATGTCAGATGCTGCTGCCTCCGCTACCCAAAAGGAACAGCGGTACTCGCAACAGACCTGCCGGTTATGAAACATTTCACAGAAGTATTCTGTCGTTTTGAGCGATATGAAGTTTGTCTTCATGGAGTGTAGTAGTGCTGCCTTACGGTTAAAAGGCCAACGGAGGCCATAAGGCCATATAATCCGGAACGTGGGAAAATTTAAGTAGTGACACCACCGTAAATCGTTTTCTGTTGGTTGCAGAAAAATGCTATCCACGCCATGATCCCAGGAAACAAAAAACCATGGGCAAAGATCCTCGTCGACTAAGCGCATAAAATGGTTAAACAATCCTATTGTACTCATCTTGTAACTCATCGAACTTGACGACATGTCTCTACGGTGCTGCTGCCTAACTACTGCATTCAGCGTCCGGCCAGCGATTTTTGTCTAAGTGATGACGGTGTTAGAACAGCAAAAACGTCAGACTAGTGATGTCCGCTGATCTAAACTGTACCACAACAGATTTCGCTTAATATACATGCTAATCTAATAGGCCATAGTTTATGCGGTTAGCGGTTCAAGTAAGGGTAAACGCATACACATCTGGGGCACGACCATTTGCCCTCCGGCGGTTGTTCCAAGTCCGGATCAAGACACACCAGGTGGTAAGCCCGCGGACACGTGTCGCACAGGATTATCTCGCCTCCCTGTTGGCACACTTCACAATAGTCCTGATGGTCGGTCTAAAACGGCAAGCAGAGTTGCGTACCGGTTTCATTAAATAAATGAATGAACGTGTACATCGTAACCGTCTTCGTCGTCCTCGGTTTTGCGCCTTTT